CGGTGATCGAAACGCCTTTTTCTTCTCTATCTACACACATACCTAGGATGCGAACATTTGCCCTAATTTAAGTAAATGTACTGCAATTTTCAGTTTTCGGCGTAGTAAAGAGTCATCATACAGACCAAGAAGGAACGTCGCTGAGATTCAAATATTGGCTCACGCTGTGAGTCATCAATAAGGGCGGGTCAATTAGTTGTCTAGTAGACAGGCGTGTAATCCGTGACTCATTTGGCAGGAGACCTTACGTTTGGTGTTTAATTCGCGTGTGGTTTGTTGTACCTCCTGGTCGGGAGAGTTTCCTATTTAAAAGGATCCACCATGATTCAGTTTATATCAGTTAAAACAAAATTAGGGCACGTTTAATTTATCAGACAATTCAACGCTACATCCGAAGAACGTACCTCAGGGTTGATAGCATATCTGCCAACATACATATTCATCCAAACATGACGGAATAAGGAACACCGACTCCATTAAAAATGACGAAATGTCCTCTTTGCAACCAAAACTATATGCAAAATGTGCAATGACTAAACCTTACCTGAAACTTATAAATTTAAAAACAATAAAGCTTTTACTGTTACTCATGCTAGTTAGGGGGTTAAAATATCCAAAACGTTTTCCACATGATCAGTCTACCAAGCCTTTTAATGTTTCGATATCATTTTTATTATTCATGGTTTCAGACGTTTTTATTCTTCGGTATATTTTAAATCGATATTGTTTTAATTATGTGTACAAATTACTTGTTCAGAAAAACTTATTAAACGTTTTAACGTAGGCTCTCTCGGAGAAATAGATAGGAAGAAGACGTAATTTTTCTGTCAAAAGTCTCGCTTGAGGAAAAAGCTTTTTAGATTTATAGGGACTTTGAAAATCAATTAATATGCCTACAACTTCAGTAACCATTTTTAGACGCTGAAGGGTTTGCAAGTGACAGAAAAATGGTTATTCCAAAATTGGCATTTTGCTGTTAATGAAGTATCCTGAGATTATGCTACAGGTCAATTAGCATTATCGGTCCACCGAAGAAATCCTTACTGTACGATCAGTAGACTTACTACACATTCATGCAGTTTCTGGGCAGGAAACCGAACCTAGTATGATTTGGTATAGGCACCGGTGAGATGTAAATTTCATAGAATGTTCATAAGAAGAATTCCACACTGAAATTTCATTTAATGGACATTCTATCAGAGTTACTATAACTCACCGCGTGAGTCACGCAGCTTGCGATTTGTACAACAAGGCAGAAAAGCCAAACAATCCTACTATTCATGCTTACTGAGGGATGACGAAACGGAAGCGCCGTTTCCGGTTGCAAAAGCAATTTGAGGATAACGAGACAATAGCTGATGCACCTATAACGACTGTTCGAAGGAAAGCACAAAGTTCTGGGAAACCTAATTTATTCTGGGTTAATTCATTGTCGACTTAAGCCCAGAAATTAAAACTTACTATCCACTATTTCAGAAGAATAGTTGGGGAGCATACGTAGGCTTTCGATTTATTCTCATCAGACCATTACATTTAGAGGGGTAGGGGTGTTAAAGGTACAAGTGAACATGCTGGCAATTTTTTTCATCATTACAGGCAAATTAGTCATAGGAATAGGGGAGGGGGTTGGCGGTTGATAATATTAGGCTGCATATGTGATATGGTTTTCTGCTTATGTCTCTGATGATGAAACCGCGACGGATCCCGAAATGTCAGGCGAAGAAAAGTGTTGTCCCAGCTATCTAGTCGTCTTCTTCTTTTTCTTCTTCTTTTTCTCAATATTCGGCTGGTTACGCGGCAATGAACGTTCATTGAAGACGGGCGGGGAGGGGAGGGTGGAAGGGGGCGAAAAAGCGTGGAAAGATACAGGCAGTTATGTGACCGTTGGCCATGCCAAGTTCGGAGTCTGTAGGTGGTTCTTTTGCGCGCACAAAGCCGGATAGCGATTGCGTCTGCTGTTGGTAGTAACCACTGACCCAGGAACTTGGGTAATTTGGTGGGACCTTATAAATTACCTTGAAGGTTTCATTGGCGTCCGCACGATGTCCGGAATCAACCACGAGTGCAAGAGTGGCGCTGCTGATGTTCCTGACTTCACCTTTGCTCAGCCATACCGGGAGGTACTCCCAGTGAGAATTTATCGAAAGTCCACGTGTGGTCGTCAACTCTTCTGCATTCTCTAATGGGAAGTTTTGCAGCTTTAAAAACGTCCATTTTATCGCTGGCGCATCGCCGAGGTTTCCAAGAGTTGTCTTAGTACGCAAGGCGTCGTAAGCTGCCCGCATTTGTTACATAATACGTCGATTAATTACCGAAAAAATATAAACGTTCACGTTCCAGGTATTTGCATGGATTAGGATGAATACTTGTCGAGCACCGGATCAATTGTTTTATTGTCCTGAGCTTTCGAACTCTTTCAGGAGTCCATCGTCAGAGACAAGAAGCAGCAACGAACAGGAGGGTAATTATAGTAGGTAAAGGCCAATCATGTCAATTGTACTCTAATTACCCTCCTTTTGGTTACTGATTCTTATCACTGAAAATGGACTCCTGTAAGATTTCAACAAGTCAGGACACTAAACCAATTGATCCGGTGCTCGAAACGTCTTCTCCTATCCCTTTCATCATCCTCGGAAGAGATAGAAGAAGAAGAGCCGATTTCTGGGAACAAAGTGTATTTTAGCTGACTTTTCAAAATCGTGCTCGCTTCCATCGTCAGAGCGTGTTGTCTGTTCCCTTGTTCGCGTCAGATGAATGTGTCCGACCATTAGCCTTGCTTAATTCCCATGTGTCAATCAATTGCACCGATCGATTTCTGTGGCTGTTTTAATTTCTCGTGCCCTCACGGGCGTCTTCATGAGCTGTGGGGATGATGAAAGGAATATTATATCTGGACCTCGAATGTTTTCGCATATTAATGTCTTTTTCTGTAGCCATGTCGAACGCAGAGTCGACTGCATGTAATGTCAGCTAGAATAAGCGTTGACCAATAGGGATTGGGACTTCTGGCTGTAAAATAGAACGTTTCAAACTTTCGTAACTTTTGATTTCAGACTATCCTCTTGTATTTGATAGCACCGAAATTTTAACTAGCGGATGTGAATTTTATTCAAAATTAGCTGTTGATTGTCATTCCGCATTCCAAGGAGCAAGGACGCGTTTATGTGGTGGTGTCCTTCATGCCAGACCACACCTGATTATTAGTATAAATCTATCAGGTGTATCTGACTGTTTTGATAGTTTAGGCAGTGAGATTTCGCAACTGTTA